TGCTTGCTCAAATCTGCCTTTGAATTGCTCTATTGAATTTTTCATTTCATTTATTGAACTTTTCTGCTCCAGAATTTCCTTTTGATTTTCTTTAGGTTTTCTATCTTTTATAGACTTTTATCTTTTATAAATTTTCCCGTTTTTTCATTTTCTTTGTCCACCTTCTCTTTTAGTTCTTTGAACATCTTTAATATGGTTGTTTCAAAGTCTTTGTGTAGTAGAACTGGCACCAGGTTTTTTAAAGGCCGGCCCTTCTTTCTTCCTTCTTTCTTTCCTTTCTTCCTCCCGTCCTCCCTTCCTCTTTTCCTTTGAATGGACCACACTTCACTGTTCTTTGCATGCCTTTTGGTTTCTTTGCTGAAAACTGGACGTTTGACTCTTATGATGCTGTAACTCTGGAAATCAGATTTTCCTCCCTTCCTAAGTTTTGCTGTTTTTTGTTTTTATTTTGTTGTTGTTTTGGGATTTTTTTTAAAATTGTAGGCTATCTCTGTGCCAAGAATCAGTCTGCAGTATAAACTTAAGGTCTTCCTCAGATCTTTTTTTGGGGCATGCACAGTAACATTCTAATTTCCCTTGTATATGTGGCTACCTTTGAATGTCCTAGGTTTCAGCATCTGACTCTCAAAAGGGGAGAAAAAGAAAAATGAAGTGGTGGGAGGAGATGTTGGCCTTTTAAATCCTCTGGAGTCCCTTCAACGGGGGGGGGGAGAGACTTGTATCAATTATGGGCAGTTCAATAATGGTCGCTCCCTCTTTGTCTACACCCCGTGATCAGAAGCAGCAGTTAGCAATCAGAGCACAGATCCCCTATATTTGGAGGATAGTTTTTGTTTGTTTCTTTTTGCGCCCCGCCCCCCGGCTTGTGCAGTTTTTGTGCCAGCTGCTCCAGGAACACTTGCCCAACTAGTTGTTACAGGGCAGAGGGGTGGGAGTTAGATAGCTGCTACTGTGCTAAGAGCTGAAATTGACTGAATCAACCACAGTGTACCATCCAGTACTTCCCCTGGAAGTCGCAGGCTTTCAGTAGACCACTCTGGAATTCAAGAGAATTCCAAAATAGTTACATCACATAGATTCTGCCAGTGCAGTCACTGTCTGGGTGACAAATTTGTGGTGCTTCCTATTCTGCCATCTTCCCAGAATCCATCCTATTTGTTTTTACATACACTGTAACTTACATTGATCCCCTGAGTGATAGCATTTAACTTTTAATGCAGTGTGTCTCAAATTAGAATCCAAGATGTGTTCTCTGGGGGTTGTGAGTTCTTCATATGAAAAACACTTGTTTATAATTTAGTAGGGGAAAAGGAGACAGACATTAAATAACGTAATGAAACTTTGATAAATGGTAAAAGGAGAAATACAATGCACAGCATTAAAGTATTTTCTAAACTCCTAATTTTGACCTGTTTTTAAATAACTGGATTTTAGAATTACTTTAAGGTTTTTTTTTAATATTGCTTTCTGAAATTGTGTAAGGATGCTGCAGTGTGTTACAGTAGCACACATGTGCTAATGTGAAACCCATTATTAATGAAATGCAATACTAAAAGTTGCATGAGCAAAATTATGTTTCTTAAGTCTTGTCATTGATACTTGGTCAAATTCTTTAGGGGTTTGCTAGTTCCTCTTTTTTAGAATATCCCTGTCCCTTTATAACTCCTACCCCCATCTCTAATTGTATTGTAGGACTTCATTATTGTCCTAGTTGAAACATATGCAATGATATATTATAGTATACTAATATATACTGATAATAGGTTAACAGTAGGTTTCTATGGTTTACAGTAAATTTTCCTTTGTATTTTACTGTATCCTCACATAGTCCTCTTGGGTAAAGGCGTGTGTTGTTATCTCTTTATAGATGGAGGAAATGAGTTAAAATAACACTTGTGACTTACCTATATAGTCAGAGTTACTAAATGGTAGAGTGAGATAGAGACAGCACTAGAACCAAGTCTTTTAATAAGTATCACTTGAAGCAAGGTGCAGGGGAAGGGGTTTCTTCATTTGAAATAAATTTCAAGTAGATTCTTCTCAAGTCTTGTTTGATTGACTCCTAAGTAAAGCTGATAATTTCATGTCACCTGTTCTGCTTCCCACTGGCCGGGTTACAGATCCCAAGGTCTTAAACTAGCCAGATTTGCTACCATTTCTGATTTTAGCACTCTTTGCCTCATCTATTTTAAAGTATGTGCTTTTGGGGCACCTGAGTGGCTCAGTCGTTAAGCATCTGCTTTCGGCTCAGATCATGATCCCAGGGTATTGGGATCAAGCCCCGCATCGGGCTCCCTGCTCTGCGGGAAGCCTGCTTCTCCCTCTCCCACTCCCCCTGCTTGTGTTCCCTCTCACTCTCTCTCTGTGTCAAATAAATAAATAAACTTAAAAAAAAAATAAGGTACGTGCTTTGTGACCAAATTTTTCTGCATTTCTTCCTTTAGAAGTACCCTGTTCTTTAGCTCTGTTGCTAGGGTATTGTGTCTTTCTGAATTGTGTATCATACCCTTCCAACCCATTCAAATTGTCCTACCCATTTATTTCCATTCCTACCTCCTCCAAATCGGAGAGCTAGGGAGTATTACTACTTTGTCAGATACGATTTCTGTATTTTGTAACACAAGAATTTAGAAAATCTCAAGTTACTAAGTAAAAATATAGTTTATTCCAAGTTAAATGTTTTAATTCTATACCTGCTAACACAGTCTTAAATATTTTTATCTTTATTTTAGGCAGCTAAACTGGAGGCAGTCAGGTCATGCCGCTTGAGCTTCCTTTATATAGGCTCTTACTTGAGACCATCTTTTTTGATCTTTCTTTTTAAAATAGCTACGTTTTCTTATCCTGACATTACTTTTGGTTGAAATTCTTGCTTAATCCTCAATGTGAACACTCTTGTTTTTTGTCCAATTTCATGTTCTTTATTACCATCATTTCCCTTCAAGGGTAATCATTCACTCATGTTAATTCTAAAGATATATCTAAAAATAACTTACTGTACATATATTATTAATGTTCTTTAAGTCAAAGAACAAATTATCACAAATTATTTCACTAGTCTATATTTTTTTATTCTGAACTGAACTTCAAAATTGAAATCAACTTTATGGTGTGAATGCTAATATCTTAATAGCAACTCTAACCTATAGTATTTTACAACTGCCTTAGTTATTAACCTCCTACAAACTGAGCAGTTCATTATAATTTTTTTGCTTTACTTTTTATTTAAAAATGTTAATTGGAATAGCAGAGTAATGTTTATAAACATACCTTCCTTATATGTAGAGGGAATAGTACAGTGAACTCTCACGTATACTCATCACCGAACTACAACAATCATTAACCGCATAACAATCATATGCACTCATATGATCGATAATCCCTCCCATTCCTGACCTTTCATTGTCATTTTATTTTGAAGTAAATTTAATGCTTTCTATCATTTTGTTTGTATATATTTCGATATCAGATAGACTTTTTATATGACTAGAATCAAAAGATAACTTCTGTACAATGATGATGATACAAAACAACTTTTTTCACTGTATGTTTGGTAATAAATGGCAGAGGGAACCAAAAGGCTTTGTTGCCATAATTTTTGAAGAATGTAACTTCTTTTGTAACTTTAAGTACCCTTTTCTTTCTTGCCATCCTCTGTAATTGCTTAAACAAAATACAGTGAAGTTGTGCTATTAATTTTTTTGATGAAATATTACCAATTTTAGTGATCTCTATAGGTCATTGGATAATTTCAGATATTCATAAAATCTCAAATGTCTATAAGTTGACTAGTTTATTTAAATAATAATCATACAAATAGTATTTGTATCATGTTGATTCATGAATTTAAATAAAAAATTTTAAAAAACAAATAGTATTTGTATTTATTAGGTTTGGTTTTTCACTAAATCATTTCAAGATTATTACATTCAAAGGTAGGACCTGCATATAAAGTATTCTCATTTTTAACCTGCTACTTCATGTAGCCTGAATGCATGTTATATAATTATTTAACCATGCAACTGTGTTGTCTTTATAAGCATTTTATCATATCATCCAGATCTAGTACTTTGCTAAAAATAGTGTAAAACATTTGAACCTTTTAGAAAAGCCCATACACTTGGAAGAAAATGGCTATTTTGTGTATAATGTTTCTTTCATACAGTTTTTATGTTTAATTCTTTAGTTAATTAGAATAGCAGAATTATTAATGTTTATAAACATACCTCCTAAAATTTGTTTAAGGATAGTCGCTTTTTGGATTCTAAGAAAATGTCATTTGAAATGGTACTTTTATACTCTTAAATATGCAGGAGAAAGATAATTTTGAGGGGGATTATGTCAGTTTTCTGGTATGTTCGTAATATGTTCTGATATGTTTTTCATTTCTTATTCATTGCATTTTATTCTTTAAATTTTATTTCATCTACATAATAATTACTTTCCAGCTTAACCAGAAAACCAAGCTTCTTTCAGTCCATTCTTAATCAGACATATGTTATTCTACTTGGGTTTTTTGTTGTTGCTTTCGTTTTGGTTTTTTGACTGTTGTTATTCTGTGAGTTGTCTAGAATAACAGGTGGAAAGCAATAATTGCAACTGAAAATAGAATTTTTTTCTGGGTGATAAAAGATTGGAATCTTCATGGTATCCTCGGGAATAGAAAAGCTAATGATTTCTGAGCAACTTTGGAAGAGTTCTTATGCAAAGCATATTTGTGGATTTTTTAAGAAGGCTGGTAAACTTCTTTACAAATTTTAATTATGTCTGTTTTAGCAGAAATAATTTATTTCTCAAAAGCAAATTAAATTTAACTGTTTATACTTAATTCTTTTCATCTTGTGCGGGAAACTGGATTCGTTGATTCACATATGGAAAACTCATATAAAATAATTTAAGAAATAGCAACTCTTTCATTTGCTTCTAACATTTGTGAATATTGATATGGAATGTATAAATTGTCCTGTTAAGCTAACACATTTACAATTCTTTTCTTAAAGGCAAATCCTCCTCCAGTACTGGTCAACACAGATAGCTTGGAAACGTCAACTTATGTAAGTTCAATTTCCTCTGCACATTTAAATAATTCTGCTTTTCCTGTTCAGTTTTTGATACATATACAAAGATCACAGCTTCATATTCTTTAATACATTGTACTTGTGATATTCTTTCACTGGTCTGTAATTGTTAAGGTATGTGAAGCAATACTGTCTCTTTTTGGTTGTTTTTTTCCCCCATATTTATGTAAAGCAGAAATGTTAAAATAGAAATTTATAGTTTATTTTTAAATTAAAATTATTAATTTTCACTAAAGGCTATTGCTGACCAGTGGTCACTGGTATGTATTGCTTAATTGCCCTGGCTAGAACCTCCATTACAATGTTTAATAGAAGTGGCAAGAGCAAATATCCTTATCTTGTTCCTGATCCATGGTAAAAAGCTTTCAGTCTTTTACTATTAAGTATGATGTATTATACTCAATTTTTAGTATTAATTGATACAATTTCATTGGCATTGGGGTTGATTCTGTCTCTGTGCATTCCTGCTCTCTTTTTAAATAGTGAAAAATATTAAGGGAAGGCAGAGTTAAAAACAAAAATTCTGAGTTCTTCCAGGGTTCAGTAATAGATGGAAATGAAGTAATTTGTTGAAATAATTCTCATCTGTTTGTCTTTTTTTTTTCCTTAAGACATCCTACAAATAGTGAAAGTTAGGAAAATTCATTCAATTTGACTTTGGTGGTTTTCTTACATACTAAAAGTGTCTTCACTTTTTCCATATATAATATAATGGATAACTCCCGATATTTTTAAATCAACCTAAATGTTGCTATTCATTATTTAGTAAACTCTTTTTTTTTTTTTTTTAATTTACTTATTAGAGAGAGAGAATGGTAGAGAGAGAGCATGAGAGGGAAGAAGGTCAGAGGGAGAAGCTGACTCCCTGCTGAGCAGGGAGCCCGATGCGGGACTCGATCCCAGGACTCCAGGATCATGACCTGAGCCGAAGGCAGTTGCTTAACCAACTGAGCCACCCAGGCGCCCTTATTATTTAGTAAACTCTTATAAGTAAATTCTTTTGACGTTAATACTTTTGTAGTTATGTGAATTTTTCATTAGGAAGAACATTTTCTTCCTTCCAATACGTTTTTATTTTTAAATTCTTACCTTGTGATGGTATATAGATTTGAAGTTTTTAATTGCCTGAGATTATGCATTTAATAGGAACTGTGAGTCACATGACTGTTGATAGATAAAATCTTGACTTTCGATATTAATGTATAGTTAGAAAGGGAATTACTGAATTGAACCTAAACAACAAGAAATTAGTAAATTAGGCTTCTTTTTAAATCTTCCTTTGGAGAAGCCTTACACTATAGGATTCATCTGTCCTGTTCAGATATATTGGTATAGGCTGATGAGAAAATGAAAATCTTTGGGCCTATAAGGGACTGAGGACATCTGAGTTATAAATTTTCCTCTGCCTCTTTATGGCATATATGTATCCATAATTAAAACAAATTGTATTGGGGCGCCTGGGTGGCTCAGTTGGTTAAGCGACTGCCTTCGGCTCAGGTCATGATCCTGGAGTCCCGGGATCGAGTCCTGCATCGGGCTTCCTGCTCAGCAGGGAGTCTGCTTCTCCCTCTGACCCTCTTCCCTCTCGTGCTATCTCTCATTCTCTCTCTCTCAAATAAATAAATAAAATCTTTAAAAAAAAAATAAATAAAACAAATTGTATTAAAAAGAAAAAAATTTATACAACTTAAAAATTAATAAGTGCTATTCCAGTATACTAGCAGCAACTAATTGTAAATAAGTCAATTAATTCTGGCAACAAAAATATGAAATACCTAGCAATCAGCTTAACAGGAAATTATAGAGTTTGTAATAAGAAAACTATAAAACTTTGCTGATGGCATCAAAGAATACCTAAGTAAGCAGAGAACAGAACTTACTGCTGAGCAGGAAGATAATGTAGAGATCATATTTTCCCCAGATGAATCTGTAAAGTTGGTATAGTACCAGTTATAGCCCCAGAAAAGAGAGCAAGTGTGTTTGGGGGGCAGGGAAGAAAGGGAGAAAGGAATGAGATAAAATGAAAGAGGAAGAATTTTAGAATTTAGTTTCTCTGTTGCACTGGTCACATTTCAAGTGCTCAGTAACTATATGTGGGTAGTAACTCCAGTATTGGACAAGACAGATAATAGAACATTTTATCATCACAGAAACTTCTGTTGAACAGTGTTGATGTATAGAAAAGTAAAAACTCAAGAATAGTCAAGAAAAATTTAAAATAAGAGTAATTGTGAGAGATTTCCCTACCAAATGCTAAAACATAAAGCATCATTAATTAAAGCAGCAGAGTTGTGGTCCCAGACTGGATAGATCAGTGGAATACAACTTAACGTAGACATATGTTGTATAATCTGATTTTCTTTCCTGGTCGGGTTTCTTTTAGGTTAGTTGCTCTTAGTTACAGCTTTGTAGGGTTTTTTTCCCATGAATGTTAGCATTTAATATTTAGGAATTTACCACCTATTCTTAAATGCCTTTGTAATTTGTGCCTTTTACCCAGACTGCTGCCATAACTTCTTCACCAGTTTACTTTTCTCCAGTTGCTCTTCTTCTGTTCCATACTACCATAGCTCCTTTCCTGGAAAATCTGTTAAACCTATTTGATGCCCTGAAACTTTCAAGAATATTTCTCATTGCTTAGTACAGCATTCCAGACCTTTCACAGTCAGGCCCAGTTGACTTCTAGTTTCTGCTCCAGCTTGGATCCCCTACACAATCCCATTTTGTTGATAGGCCTCAATTCAAAACCTAGAAAATATTAGCAATGACTGTTCTCAGGAAGTATTCTAGATCTACTCTCATATTTTTAAAGAAGAAAAAATTATTTTGTCAATAATATATTCATTTTGCCTAAAGATCAATATCCTCTGGTTTTATTCTCATGTTACATCTCCCCCTATCCTGCTAATTGAGGGTAATAAACCTTATATAATAATATAAATAATATATTAGGCAAGCATTTTATTCCTATTGGAAGCCACATTTTGTAAAGATATAAAAAGAAAACTAAGCAAACAAACCATTTTGTAGTTTTGCTGGAAAACATACTGCTGTGGAAAATATTACACCACCATTGTTTTTTTCACTTTTAATGAAGTGATACCTACAGAGTAATTTGTAGTTTTGGTAATGTACTTTTGGCATTTTGAAGCCCAGTTTGAATATGTTTAAAGTTGTTATCAAATTGTCTCTGTATATGAAATTATAAGACAGTTTTAAGTTATTGAGGGTTTAGGACTAAAGTCATTCAGACTTCCTATGGTCTTCTCACTTTTCACCTTTTTATGATCACTCTATGCTTCCTGGAATCCTCACTAGATCTCAATGACTTAGCATTAAATTAAGCACCCAAGCATATTTACCATATATTTACCTTTTGAGAAGGCTTAATGGTGAAAATCTCAAATTTCTAAAAAACAGAAATTAAGGTCACAGTATAGAAATTTTACTTATTAACACCAAAAGGGCAATATAAGCACACTTATGTCGAATGTTTTCCAGAATAAAATTTCAGAGTATTTGGAAATAAACAAATGAACAAAAATAGAGCCCAGTGTAGCAGTTTTGAGATTTGGCCAAAGCCATGTGCCGAGGAAAATTATATTAACTTTAATGGATGTTTTTAAAAATAGAAGAGTAATCAGCATAAATGAATTGGGTGTTCAGCTCAAGAAGTTAAAAAAAAAAGTCTGAATAAAATAAAGAATTGAGGGGCGCCTGGGTGGCTCAGTCGTTAAGCGTCTGCCTTCAGCTCAGGTCAGGATCCCAGGGCTCTGGAATTGAGCCCTGCATCAGACTCCCTGCTCGGCAGGAAGGCTGCTTCTCCCTCTCTCACTCCCCCTGCTTGTGTTCCCTCTCTCGCTGTCTCTCTCTGACAAATAAATAAAATCTTTAAAAAAAATTGATAAAAATAAAAGCAGAAAGTAATAGTATAGAATGTGATAGATTAATCAGTATTAAAACTACTTTGATAAGGACTGAGACTTTTAGCAAGTCTGAGCAAGGAAAAATAAAGATGATACAGATAACCTTTAGAATAAGGAAAGTGTATAGCTGCAGATATGGGTTTTATTTTTACTCATAAAAAAAGGACTTCCAGTCAAGTTGGTAGGCTGTGTATATGTATAAACCTCCTGCATTCTAGATGCATAGAAATCTGTTAGAAGGTGGGGGAGGGACAGTAAAATAACCCTACTGAGAAGGCATTTTGAGATGAGAAAACAAAGCAGGCCACTCCATACAGTTTACACAGTTCTATTCAGGGTAACTTGCTGACCAGCAGAGAAGGGTGGATTCGGCTGGTTGACAATCCATGGCAGCTGCATGGCTGTTCTCCATAAAGTCTGGGCCTTAGTTCACAGATTTTATAGAGTGAGGGAACTTGCAGAAGGGCATTGTAGTGAGATTCAGGGGTTCACATGCACCTAATTAATTACTAAACTTTAATTGGATCTTGTGGAGCCATCTGTACATCAGGGAAAGGAAAGACTATATTACCTCTTAACAGATTCGTGGGAGGCCAAAGCAAGCCTCCCCACATCCAGGCCTTGGTGGGCATTTCTAAGATACGTATTTTAATCTCCAAGGGGCATGGAACTTGCGGTGCCCAGAAGTCATCAAGCAAACATATGAACAAAATGAAGGGCCAAAGATGGAGTTATTGTCAGCACTCCTACAAAATGAAAGATTAAAAAAATATATGTTTATATATGCATTCATAACATCTCAAAAACAAGAAGAAAAGCTATTTAGGTGAGAAAGGGAGTTAAGAAAGTAGCAGTTGGATTTGAATCCATTAGAGCCATGAGAACCCAAAAAGGTAGAAGAGATGGGTTTCAAAAGCCCTGAAGAAAAAACCCTTAGGCCCTAAACTGGACCTGAATTAGGGGTGCTTTCTTATAGTATTGTGAAGAAAGCAAAGTAGCTTACATAGGTGTCATTATTCTGTTGTGTCATTATTCTGTCGCTGTGTAACAAACCACCCTGAAACTTTAGTGGCTTAAAAAACATAACCTAGTTTAAAAATATTACTCCCTGACTTTTATGCTTATTTCAGATTTAAGGTTTAATAATATTATATTGTTTCAAAAAAAAAAAAACAGTTCATTATTTCTCGTGATTTCCAGGTTAACTGGAAGGTTCTTCTTCATGTTGGCTGGGGCACTGGAAAAGGCTGGAAGATCCAAAATAGTCTAATTCATGTGACTGGCAGTTGATGATTGTTGCTAGTTAGGAGTGCAGCTGGGGCTCTTGGCCAAGGGCCTTAATTCTCCTTCATTTGAATCTTCCCATGGGCTATTTGACCTTCCTCACATTATGGCTCCTAAGTTCTTTTTTTTTTTTTTTTAAGATTTTATTTATTTGAGAGTGAAAGAGCACAATCAGGGGGAGTGGCAGAGGGAGAGAGAGAGAAGCAGACCTCCCACTGAACAGGGAGTGGGACGTGGGGCTCGATCCCAGGACCATGACCTGAGCCGAAGGCAGACGCTTAACCAACAGAACCATCCAGGTGCCCCTATAGCTCCTAAGTTCTAAGAAAGTACCTTCTAAAACAAAGGCAAATATTACAAGGCATCACGTGACCTTCAGAAACCACACAGCATCATTTGTGCCACATTCTTTTTAAACAAAGCTTATCTAGAACCTGCCTAGATCCAAGGGAAGGAGAAATAGATGACATCTCTTGAGGGTAGGATGGTTTAGTCATGTTGCAAAAAAACATTTAGGATGGAAGATGGGAGGCATCTAGAGAAATGCAGTTTATCACAATCCCTATTTGACTTGATCAAGTATTTTGCACAGCTTCATATCATCAGAAATGTTAAAGCTATGGCATGAACCTGAATTAATCTGATCCCAAGGATTATTCACCTTTCACCAGTGGCCCTCACTGTGGAAATTACTACGTCCAGGAGGGAGTAGGGAATAAATTGGAAAGAATAAGATAAAGTGCCTGGTCTATAAGATGTGAGCAAGAACATGAATAGGGAATCAGATTTGGACATGAAATATATAAGTGAAATTTGTGACGGAGGAATCACCTAAAGTAACAGATGCAGAGGTGGGAACTTGCAAGATATGTGAAGGAAAGAGCAAGTCATTCAAATTTAATGGTATGTAACACTCATGAAGAAGTGAATTATGTATATTAGGAATGAAGCTAAGTGATAGATTGGGGTCAGTTCATGCAAAGCCTTGTATGAGAGTTTCTCAAAGTTTTGGAGCAAGTACATTATTAGACATGGGCTCCAGAAAGATCCATCAGTGTAAAACACATTAGAGTTATTTGGGCAGCAAAGAATACTAGTCCAAGAGTTGGGTAGATTACATTGGCAGTAGTCCAGAGGAGATTAACAAAGGCTTGAATCAAGGTAATAGAGATGAGAATGAAGAGATGATGGTTTTCAGAAAATTTGAAGTATTCAAATCAGTAAGAATTGGCACCTGATTAGATGTGTGGATCAAGGCAGTGAAAAGAGTTGAAGTTCCATAATATTAAAAGCTGTATGGGGACGTCTGGGTGGGTTCAGTCAGTTAAGCATCTGCCTTCAGCTCAGGTCATGATCCCAGGGTCCTATGATGGAGCCCCACATCGTCAGGCTCCTTGCTTGGGGCGGGGTAGGGGGAGGGTCTGCTTCTCCCTCTCCTTCTGACCCTCCCCACTGCTCATTCTCATGTGCTCGCTCACTCTCTCTCAAATGAATAAATAAAATTTTTTAAATAAAAGCTGTATTTGAAAGTCATATCATGAATGTCAACTCATTAATCACACTTGTACTCTTCTATTCCTTGAAAATTTTACCTAAAATTATTAAAATGAAGCCAAATTATTTGATTACTATCACATTTAACAGGTTTGCATTAATAAATCATACAAAAATTATGTCTTGACATTTCAGATTTTATATTCTAAATTTCTGTGCTACTTCTTTTTTCCCCCATTAGGTTAATGGCACTGATGCAGATTATGAATATGAAGAAATCACACTTGAAAGGGTAAAAGCTTAATTATCTTAAGTTTTTATGCATAAATCTGTTGCTTAAAGAATTCTTTAAATATACTGCTCTCTCATATAGAAATCAAGGGAAACGATCTTTCAAAAACAGAACCATGTAATATTAGTTTCTTTAAGTATACATATTATAAAACTAGCCATGGTATTTTTAGAACATGTTGCTTTTCTTTAATAACTTTTTTTAAATAAATTTTTATTTAAAATAGTTTTAGATTTACAGAAAAGTTATACCTAAAGTTTCCATTTATCCTGGCCTCAGTTTTGCCTATTGTTAACATCTTATCTGTTTCAACTAATGAACCAATATTGACATAATATTATTAACTAAAGTCTATACTTTATTTGGTTTTCCTTAGTTTTTATGTTTTTCTCTTTCAGAATCCTTTCCAGAATATCACATTACACTTGGTTATCATGTCTCCTTACATTTCTCTAGTCTCTTTCTCAGATTTTTCTTTTTTTGTTTTATTTTTATTTTTTATATAAAACATTATTGATTTAAAGTATTTAGTATGCTAGTAATATGCTTATTGTTAACAGTTTTCTTTTTTAGCAAAATGATAACCATAGTTTTAGTGGACAATATCCTATTGAAAATTTATGCACTCCCCCAGTCAGAAAATAATTTAAGGGTACGATTTAGATATGTAAATTTTCTTATAATATTTACCCCTTAAGAATATCTGCATTCAGGGGGCGCCTGGGTGGCTCAGTCACTAAGCGTCTGCCTTCGGCTCAGGTCGTGATCCCAGGGTCCTGGGATCGAGCCCCACATCGGGCTCCCTGCTCCACAGGAGGCCTACTTGTCCCTCTCCCAATCCCGCTGCTTGTGTTCCTTCTCTTGCTGTGTCTCTGTCAAATAAATAAATAAAATCTTAAAAAAAAAAAAGAATATCTGCTTTCAAATGATGATGTATTTCAGTAATGCCATGTTGTCTGACAAGCATTTTGAGAAAGTGTTTCACAGAAGTAAATTTCCTAAGTAACTGAATGTCTGTTTAAGACTGAAATTCTAGATAATTAGATTTGTTTATATGTGAAGCCAGAATGGATTCTGAGTGAAACTAGACCTGAGAGGGTCTTTTACATGTATATTAGATCTTTATTGCCCACTACCTGAATTTGAGTTACTATAATGTAGTACGCATATTTTAATATGGTATTTTTTTATTTAGGTTTTTTTCCAGCTTTCTTGAGATATAATTGACATGTAATTCTAACTTTTTATCTTATTCATTCTTCATTCTTTCCTAGTGCCTTTTAAATTTATTTAGTTAGGACTGGACATTGTTTTTTCACTTGCTAAAAAATTGAGTACCAGGAGTTGGAGAGATGTTGTTAAAGGATGCAAACTTAGATGAATTAATTTCTGGAGATCTAATGGACAGCATAGTGATTATAGTCAACAAGATTATATTATATACTTAAAAATTGCTAAGAGACTAGATCTTAAGTGTTCTCACCACAGGAAGAAATGACAGTAAGTGACATGATAGGGATGTTAGCTAAAGCAGTGGTTATAAACATATTGTAATATATAAATATGTCAGATCAATACATTGTACACCTTAAATTTATACAAAGTTATATGTAAATTATATCTCAATTTTTTAAAAAGCAAAGAAGAAGAAGAATGTGAGTACCTGAGTGACTTGGTAACATCACACAACCATTGATACTATTATTCGTATTCTAGTAACTCTTAAAGACTTTAGACAAAAAAAATTATTAAAATAGAATTTTAGGACACATCATAGTAGAGGGAATATTTAAGCTATTTAATATTAACAGTTAAGTAATCAGTTCAGATGTATCTGCTTATTTGCATTGCTTGAAAGCCAGAGTTAGAACAGTTTTGCAAAAATAAACAATTTTTTAATACCATTGCTTAGAACAATTGTCTTTAAAGACTTTTTCGTAGCAGTAGAAACTTTTCTTCAAAGAAAATCTTATTCAGAAATATAGTATGTAAAAACTAGCATTGCTTTGGCAAAATTGACTTTGTTATCAAGAAAACTCACCAATTAACTTCTCAGGTTGGACTTTCAGTATTAAAAAATGCCTTTTGCTATTCAGGTGTCTTGGTTAAAGATGTCAGGGATAGGGGAAAAAAAAACGTATCAAGGATGATGACTTAACAGATACAATTTGGTCATTTTAAAGTCATCTGATGGCAAGGTTAGTAAAAGAAAAGCACCATCCCCTACCCCATTTTTAAAAAGCTGAAATAATGTTAGTTTTACCTACTCAGAAATAATTGCAGCGGGAAGATCACTTCACTTTTTTTCTCTTAGGAGACATTTGCCTTACCAAACATGAGTGAGATACATTGTAAAAGAAGAGACCTAATAGTGACACCCCTGCAGATGGGTGACTGATCCAAGGGCAAATTGCACATACTTTGAAAGAAAGAACCATAATAGACTATACTTCAAAAGTACTTAGTTAGTACCTACTCAGAAGTAATGCCTTTGAATTCTTCATAGAGAAAAAAGAGCTTTCTTTAATATTTCTTAATTTAGAATCTTCATATCCCCTACATAGACACCTTTATGTATATGTTCCCTGAGTTAGTACAGTTTCTAGGTTCTAAACTGACAGGAACCTATCTATAAAGGTAATTCTTACTCATGCTCAGTTTTTTGTCCTTTATCCCCAGGGAAATTCAGGGCTTGGTTTCAGCATTGCAGGAGGTACGGACAACCCACACATTGGAGATGACTCAAGTATTTTCATTACCAAAATTATTGCAGGGGGAGCAGCTGCCCAAGATGGAAGATTACGGTATGTTTTGCATTTTATGTTGTGATGCTGAATACACTTTGTATATTTTTCTTTAGGCAGATTGAACAAGGCATCTATACAAATAAACACTGTCATAATAACCAACATAAGGTAGATGCTCAAATAAACAAATGAATGAGATAATTGTGCACTAAGCATTGTTTCCCTCTTTTCATTTAGGAATTTAGTTTTATCAGATATTATAACATGTTGAATAATAAATTTGATTGATGGTTTTAAATGTGAGCAAATTGGGGGCACCTGGGTGGCTTAGTCGTTAAGCGTCTGTCTTCAGCTCAGGTCATGATCCCGGGGTTCTGGGATCAAGCACTGCGTCAGGCTCCCTGCAGGGAGCCTGCTTCCCTCTCTTCAGCTTCCCCTGCTTGTGTTCCCTCTCTCACTCTCTCTCTCTGTCAAATAAATAAATAAAATCTTAAAAAAAAAAAAAGTGAGCAAATTTATAGAAATCAGAGAATTCCCTTTGTTTTTAAATATATTCACAAAATGTTTTCCATTTATTTCCTGGGTAGGAAACATGTATATAAACTTAGGATACAAGAGATGATATATATCTGAGTTTGTATTCCATACCACAAAAAGTAAAGATTATGCAAATTTTAAATAAATTAATACATTTTCTTAATTGAGTTAATGAAAGTAATATTGGTCTGTTTAAATTCAGTGTTCCATTGTAGAAGATATCTTTAGCACACTTGGTTGTTTCCTTAGGCCATAGATTATGGCACTTTTCCTATTTCCTTGTTTGTTGGTTTTTATATATAAACATATATATGTGTGTGTGTGTATATATATATATATATATATAGTAAGAGTCATCAGTGTTAGGACTAAGGATTTTTATATGGTCTGTTAAAAATAACATCTGTTTTTAAGGCTGTTGTTGGTACCTTCTGAAGCTCTTCAGTTTCTTCTCACTGGATATGACAGGTGATAGATTAATGAAATCAGTTGGATATAAAATTAATAATTTGACCATTCATGTAAATGCAGACATTTACTTCCCGATTCTGTTACTGGTCTTTTATTTGTGCTTATGTGAAAATTAATGTGTCCCATCTGTTTCACTGAAGAACATACCTTTAATACTTACTCTAATATATCACTGTCTTTGCATACAGAGTTTCTTTCCTCCTAAGAAAGCTATTATTAGGATCAGTTTTAATATTTTAATTGTCTTTTGTTCTCCTTCCCTGCCCAATTTCAGATGATTTTTTTCCCCCTAATGCAATGTTATGCAATTTAAACTGAGACCAGAGCTAGGGGGGGAAAGTTAGGACTAGAACAAATCAAACTTTAAAAAAATATATTACTGTGTCAAATTAAAATAAATTATATGAGAAACCTTTTAATTAAATGTAATGTAATCTTTAGCTTCATATAAATTTCAAGAAATAACTTTATTTTTTTAAATGTATCTCGTTTGAAAAAGCAAGTCAAAAAATTATTTTTAGATATATCAGTGATTATCTCGCTTTTGCCACCACTGTCTCTGTGACCTTAAACTAATTATTTAGTCTGAACCTCCATTTTCTTTTCTTTGAGTCACAGCTCTGTCAGTCATTATCTGGGTGACTAGGAAAATTATTTAGACTCTTTGTGCCTTAATTTCTCCATTTGTGAAATAGGAATATAAATATATAACTACCCTTCAGGTTGTTGTAAGGGTTAAAACACTAAAACAAGTACCTGGCAGGTGGTTATTGTTAAATAAATACTAAAATGCTGAATAAATCAAGCATAAAGTACCTTAACGCTTACACAATAAGCATACAAGAACCGTACAAATTATAGCTGTCATTATTATTTAATATTTTTGTGTGATAATTTGTTGTTTGCACTCTTTTTCGCTGGCCCTTGGAAAATATTTGTATTTATTTATATGAGTATTTGATACTGTGGAATTTAACATGAAGTTTCTTCATATATATTTTCTCTAGTAAATAATTCTCTTTACCTTAAAAATGAAAATGACAAAAAATTATCAAAGTGAAAATTAGATATTTTAATATTTAATTTTTATTTTTAATATTTTGGGTTTTTTCTCAGGGTCAATGACTGTATATTGCGAGTAAACGAAGTAGATGTTCGTGATGTGACACATAGCAAAGCAGTTGAAGCATTGAAAGAAGCAGGGTCTATTGTACGCTTGTATGTAAAAAGACGGAAACCTGTATCAGAAAAAATAATGGAAATAAAGCTGATTAAAGGTCCTAAAGGTATGGGGGTGCCTGGGTGGCTCAGTCGGTTAAGCGTCTGCCTTCAGCTCAGGTCATGATCCCGAGTCTGGGATTGAGCCCTGCATAGGACTCCCTGCTCACCAGGGAGTCTGCTTCTCCCTCTGCCCTTCACTCTCCTCATGCGCTCTCTCTCTCAAATAAATAAATAAAAACTTAAAAAAAAAAGGTCCTAAAGGTATGAAATAATCAAAGATTATTAAGAAATTACTGAAATAAATGTAACTTTATCAATTTATTTGTTACATTCTAAGATTAACAGTACTGGTAATCTACAGAATGTGTGTGAATTTTTGGAATTTCTCTCTCATTTCTGCTGATTTTTGTCTTCAGGAGAATTCTACTTAAACACTTGTAAGTCATATATAGTGTTGCTTTTAACTAATTATCAGTCTACAAATACATTTAAATGCAGATGCACAGGCTAAGTTAAAATAAGAAAATATTTATGTGTGTTATTAGCAGTTATATCTGCAGTGAGGACAGTTCATATTTGATTTCTGAATTTTGAAAACATTGATGGGATTGAAGATAAATGGAAATATTGATTCTAATTTGTAACTTCGTGGAAGAAGTAGTATTCCAACAAGTGAAAAAAGGAATAGAGAGATACAAATTTGTCTGGTTTTAAAGCTATGGGATTTATGAATTATAGAAATTGTTCATTTAAAAAATTCGTAAAGGGGCGTATGGGTGGTGCAGTCAGTTAAACATCTAACTCTTGGTTTCAGCTCAGGACCTGATCTCAGGGTTGTGTGATCCTGCCTGTGCCGGGCTCTGGGCTCAGGGCAGAGTCTACTTAAAACTCTCTCTCACTCTCCTTCTGCCCCTCCCCACCTCCCCCACCCCATCCCCCTACAGTCAAGCTCACTCTATCTAAAATAAATCTTTAAAAAAATAAAAGTAATTCAAATATTGGAAAAAGAACAAAATTATCCACATATCTGAAGCCTATTAGTTCTGCCCACCACCAAAAATTTTATTATTTTTCTCAATTGTTTTAATCTTGTGAAGGCATTAGAACTGTTAGAAGCACAATCATGATGGCAGCAAAAGTGAAACATAATTTTATAATGCCTCTTTGAAACAAACAAATACATTTACAAAAAGACTTTAAGGAATAACCTGAGGAGGGGGGGAAGGAACTTATTTGTAACTATAGGAACCCCATATATATATATAAATCGTCCACTGGCTACAAAACAAATACATAAGACTTAAAAAGTAGGCAAATAGGGGCACCTGGGTGGCTCAGTCACTTGAGCATCCCCCAGCTCTTGATCTCAACTCAGATCTTGATCTCAGGGTTGTGAGTTTGAGCCCCCTTTAAAAAAAAAAAAAAAAAAGGCAAATAGATTCTATTGTATTTTTTTAAAAAAGCATGAGTGTGAATAGACTATCACCTTCTAGTTTTCAACCATTTCTTTGGATTTAAATTCACGTTAAATGATGAAATTTCAAAACTAGTATTTTCCAAACAGGTCTTGGGTTCAGCATTGCTGGAGGTGTTGGAAATCAACATATTCCTGGGGATAATAGCATCTATGTAACCAAAATAATTGAAGGAGGTGCAGCACATAAAGATGGTAAACTTCAGATTGGAGATAAACTTTTAGCAGTGAGTATCAGAAATCTGTTATTTTAAAAATCATTTTGATGTCTCCTCTTTTTTTTAAACTGGAATTTCTACTTGCCAAAAATGTTTAAGTGAATACTAATCATGCTTTAATCAAAACCTGAAAAATTTTTCTTGGTATTATCTTATTAGCTCTTTTTTCTCCCCCTCTGCTAGCTTTCCTCTCTCTCTCTTTTTTTCTTTTTTGTTGAAGGGTTAGGGAGTTGGATGCACAGAATTGTTTAAATAGTGTCATCCTGGGCGCCTGGGTGGCTCGGTTAAGCGACTGTCTTCGGCTCAGGTCATGATCCTGGAGTCCCAGGATCGAGTCCCACATCGGGCTCCCTGCTGAGCAGGGAGTCTGCTTCTCCCTCTGAACCTCTTCCCTCTCATGCTCTCTATCTCTCATTCTCTCTCTCTCAAATAAATAAAATCTTTTTAAAAAAATTAAATAAAAAAAATAGTGTCATCCTTCATGTGACTTTTTTTTCCTTTTTTTAACTTAATTATAGTATAATGAAAATTGCTAAAGTCTACCCAACCCAAAACTAGAATATCAACAATTTGTGGTTTTTATTCATTTGCTTTTTAAAAATTGTTTAATCACATACATATGCCTAAATATTTTGTTTAATATTAATTCTGAAAATTTTTTTAAAGGCTGTTGTGCTGAATGTAGTCTTTTAATACTTTTCTTAATCGATATTGGTTTACTGAGATTTATCCGTATTGTTGCCTAGAGCTAAAATGTATTCATTTCACCTCTACATAATATTGTGTTCTGGAACTATACTGCAGTTTATTTGTCCACTCTTCATCAATAACTGTCCGAGTCTATGTTCCCTGGAAAAATAACCTGAAGAAAAGCTACCATGCTAAGGTTTTGTTGGGAAGCATAATCTCAGAAAGAGTGAGTGAAAATGAAATGAGAGGCAGAGAATAACGGAAAGTCATTACAAGCTATTATGTTTCTGAGCTGGCCATAATTTCATAAGAAAATGTCTCTGATTGACTGTCATATAGCACAGTCTTCCAGGCAGGTGATGTGACACTGTTAAACTTTAGATCCAGCCATCCAGGGAAAAGAAAGGATTTGTCTCCCTGTCTCTTCTTTGGTAGAGTCTACCCCATGGGGCTAACTGTCCCAAATTTCTGGACTTTTACTCCGCTCCTCTGGGTAAATGCTAGGGAAGCCAGCTCCCATGCTCCATGGCATAGTACTTCCTTTGAACTCAGAAGTGGTGGAAAGAACCAGAGCCTCAGTGATCTAGACAGATCAGACACAGGCTTTTGATATCTTACAGCTCTCACTCTATGGAACAACATGCCCAAGCACAGCCCTTACCCTAGAAGAGAGTGAAAGAGCTGATGATGGCAGGAGACAAGGTGAGAGAAGCAGTAGCCAGGACTCTCCGGTAGCACACAGCCAAAGCCTAGTGGGCAGGTAGGCTCAAGCAAATCTAAAAAGACATATAAACTAGGTCTAATATAGTGGGGAGTTGGGTTATTTCCTTTTTTTTTTTTTTGGTAGTGTGAATAATTCTGCTAGGGAGAGCTGCTGTGTGTTCTGGTGAACATGTACATACAAGAGTTTCACTTAACTATTTATCCTAAGAAATGGTCATGGAATGTCCTCTTAGTAACATTATAGCAAAAACAGTATGTTTTCCAAACCGGTTATAAAAATGTACACTCCTGTCAGCAATATATAAATGATTTCTTTGTTGTACATGCTGTCCAGTACTGCTTATTGCTGCAGCAATGAGATACGCTGATTGTTTTCGGGTTAATAATGGGGAAGAGGAAAGAGCTGACTTTGAACTGCTTTTCTGCGTGCGCGCACACACACACACACACACACACACAAACACACAAACACAGCAGTTGAAAACAGCTTTCTTTCTCCACTGAGTTTCTCATTTGTACTTTTTAATTTCTTAGATACCATGTTTTCTTTTATAGTTTTTCCAGAATCAGTTTCAGTGGTTGGGAAGCCAGCAGTGTATGCTGATTGACCATTTAGTAAGGCTTTGGTTGTCATAATCCCACTGAAATTATCAAATTCTTAGTTCTCATTTTAATTGACAATCAGGCATTCGACACGGTTTCCTCCTTCAGATACTTTTTCCATTTTGCTTAACAGTTACCATCCTCTTTCCTGGTATTCCTCTTATCTCACTAGTCTTTACTTCTCATTCTCCCTTTTGGTGCATCTTCTCCCTAACCTCTAAACATTGAAGTGAGACAGGACTTACTTGGTCCTTGTACACTTTTTCTTCTTTTTGATAGGTGGTCAAATAACTTACTGTCTCATTGCACATGATAGGCATAAGTATTATTTTCTGACTTCAGTTTTATTTTTACACACATACACATATATTTTGTGCTCAGCTGGAATATAAAAAATTTTAACAGTGGTTCTTGGCAAAACAGTTGAAAAGCCCTAGGAGATTTCATCTAGTTTCCTTTCATATGTCTCAAGAGTCAGGTTAAATTTAATATATCTAAAAATGAACTTCTGAGTTTCATCCTACACCCCACCCACCACCCTCAAATCCTGTTCCTTGCACAATCTTCACATCTCATGAAATGGGAACTTTATCCTTCTGTTTGCCCAGGTCTAAAACTTCAGGATCATTCTCCTTCCTAGTCCTTATTGAATCCCTTAGCAAATCTTGTCAGCTCTTTTATCTGTTATCTAACTCTGCTTAAGAAAACACAAAAATTAGTGGCTAAAACAACAACAGTAATTATTTACACTTCTGTAATTTGGGTAGGGTTCAGCCAGGACAGTCTGTCTCTGTTCTGCATAATGTCACCTGGTAGCTGAGCCAGGGCCAGGAAATCGACTTCAAAGTTCAGTCATATGTGGTAGACAAGTTGGGTTGGCTGTCAGGTGAGAGCTCAGCTGGAACTGTTAGCCAGTGGTCTCCCCCACATGGCTACATTAGGCTTCTCACAGAATGGTGAGAAGAGAGACATATCAAAAGACAGGCTCCAGTGTGTGGCATTTATCAGTCCTTTCTTTGCATCACAGTTATTAATGTCTCATTGGCTAAAGCTAGTTACAAAGCCAAGCAAGGTTCACTGTAGGAAGGGATTTTACAGGGATATGAATACCAAGATGCATGGCTCACTGCAGGCCACCAAAGGAACAGTATACCACAGCTGTATATTTCAAAATGCAGGCAGTCCTTCACCGTACATGGTAGTGTGGGATCATAAAAATGACCATGTGGCTGAAACCCTGCAAAGCAGCATTAATAATTGGTGGTGAAAGTTAATGATTGTTCTGTGACCTTTAAAAATTTTTGTCAGAACATTAAAAACTCTCCTGTCAATTATACAGGTACAAATTAGGGAAATGAGGAATATACTGAAATGAGTATTTGTTTAGTACATTGTAATTTTAAAACATTAGAAACATTTATGGTGTTTTATTTCTTTGCCAAAAAAAAAAAATTACCAAAAAGAAGAGCAGTTAACCTAAAGGTAGCAGAAGGAAGGAAATAATAAAAATTAGAAGTTAATGAAATAGGGAATAGGAAAACCAGAGAGAAGATAAACAAACCAAAACTTGGTTCTATGGAAAGGTGAACAAAATTGACAAACCTTAGCTAGACTGATCGAGAGAAAAAGCCTCAAATTTCTAAAAGTAGGAATAAAAGAGGGGACATAAGGAAATACTTTTATTTATGAACAATTATATGCCAACATATTAGTTAATTTAGATGAAATGGACATATGTCTAGAAAGCCACCACTACCACTTTTATTCAGACTGTATTGAAGGGTCTAGCCAGGAAAATAAAAAGACATTCAGATTGGGAAGGAAAAAGTAAAAATTAGTAGAATACATCTACAAATATAGTTTTACTTGTATATAGAAAATCCTAAGGAACCCACTGATAGAACTAGTAAGTTTAGCAAGGTCAGTTCCGTTTCTATAACAGGAGATAGATAAATGACTAATAACTGAAAAAAGTCTCGACAATTAAGCAGTGAAAGTAAAAACTTAATGTACAAATTGAATCACGCTTTTTTATAAATTGATACTGTTCGGTGTTGGCAAAAGCCTGAGTAGATGGGTATGATACACTCATATTCTTTGGTAGTGAGTGTAAGTTTATTAGAAGTCATTTATTTAGAACAGTTTAAATACCTGTTAATATTGGAATGGCTTAATATATTATGATATAACCACACAATGGTATACTGTGCAACAGTTTTTTAACTCTATGTGTCCCAACATGGAAAGATCTCTTAGATACCTTATATTAAAAATCCAGTTGTAGAATAAAAACTTTAATATAGTCTCATTTTCTTAAAAAAAAAATCTAAAATATACCTACATATATTCATAAATACCTTAGAGTAGAACAAGGAATAGGCTTGGGGATTGGGAGGAATAGGGACTGGAATTAAGATTGGCTATTTCATTAACACAACTTCCTGATGTGATAGTAAAAATGGGTATTTTCACATACTTTTATATTCCTTAAATCACTCCTGCTTTCTCCCTGTGTTTTGGTATAATTGTTTATAACCAAAAAGGAGAAAGCTAGTGAAAATGTCCTAAAACAAATGTCTTTGGGGATTTTCTTTTAGGTGAATAGTGTGTGTTTGGAAGAAGTTACTCATGAAGAAGCAGTAACTGCCTTAAAGAACACGACTGATTTTGTTTATTTGAAAGTGGCAAAACCCACAAGTATGTATATGAATGATGGCTATATACCACCTGATATCACCAGCTGTAAGTCTCTTTGCTTAAATCTATCATATTTCCCTATTTTTAAATATTTTAAAGGAACTATATTAAGCATTTTAACTTAATAGTTTTTAAAAATCAAATTTAAATCAAAATCTTGATAGTAAGAAGAGTGTGTTCTTTTTCAAAGTTTTATATAGGTAACAGTCACCAAAGGTATTTGCAAGTAATGCACATTCTTGTTTTGCTCTAATAGTTTTGGAATGTAGTGCAGAAATTTAACAAGAAATTCTTTTAAAACCATGGTAATTTTGAGGTTTCTGGTGCTGCTAGTTCATGGACTACACTTTAAGAAATACTAATATTAAATATTTCTACAACTTGAGCCTTTCTATGCTCTGTTATGTGAGCACAGATACTATTTTTGTACAAACTCCTAGTGTATTACCTAACTGTATTTGTATACAGTACAATTGTGTTGCCTAGAAATAGTTCTGTTATGAAAAGTACTAATGTAATTTTAAGTTTCCTGTTTGATTTTCTTTTTTAATGTACAAGCTGGGATAAGATTTAAATAATGTACTTGTGTTTGTTGAAAAATGGAAGTTTTATTTCTTTGGTGCATTGAGTTGATATTAGAAGCACCCATGTGTACCAGAGACCTTAAATGTACTCTCTGTAGTCTGCTTTTCCAAGTCTTTCTCCTTTAAATTGTAGAATTTTAGAATATTTGTGGTTTTATAAATCGCAAGTTTCCAGTTTTAAAACTGTCAAAGTTCGTTACTGTCATTAATCATTATAAGTTCAATATAAATTATATTTTGAAATGAATATACTATCTTCCAGTGATACATCTTCATTATCTAACCATTGATTTATTAATTACTCAAGGATAACTGAACCTTTTAAAATAGTATTCAGTCTCTTTAATGGAGAAGGATGATGTCTTTTTTTTTTAATACTTCATTTGTGTCAGAACAGAACTACTTGTTAAACATTCTCACATACAGTTGGTCTTACACATGAACTTTATATAAGGGCTTTATGTATTTTTATTTGTGATTAGACATGCAAATTCACTAATAAACTATTTTATGTACCAGTGTAAATATCAGTCTTCTTTATTATGCTGCCTTATCTATTCAAGACAACAGTGCATATTTGTAACAGTTGTTCTGTGAACTGAGAATTGGTGTCCAGATTATGACCAAATATACAAACAGCCAGGCTGCTTCTTATATGTCGAACTGAAAAAAATAGTTGTTATTTTTTAATTGAATTATCCCTTTTTACATATTCTAATATAATATATAAAAAATGGAAGAGCTAGTCCTAAAGAGTAATAATTAAATAATGATTGGTTGTTTTCCTTATAGGCATAGATATATAATCTTTCTTTTTCTCATCTATTGAGGTAATAGAACATTGTGAAAGAGTTGCTTACCCTTGCTAGTTCAGCTCTTTCATAAGGTTCTATTTCCATTCCCCCTCTTTTCTTAGGCAACTACAATTATGAATTTTGTTATATACTTCCAGCCCACGTTCATACCACATAGGCTGTTCATATCATTTATCTATGTGTTTTTTAAAAAGCATTTGTGGTTCAGGGCACCTAGGTGGCTCAGTTGGTTAAACGTCGAACTCTTGGTTTCAGCTCAGGCCATGATCTCAGGGTTGTGAAATCCAGCCCTGCATCAGGCTCCACACTCAGCACGGAATCTGCTTGAGATCCTCTCCCCCTCCCCTCCACTGAATGCATGCGCTTTCTCTCTCTCTCTCTCTCTCTCATATAAATAAAATCTTTTTTTCAAAAAGGCATTTGTGATTAAAAACTTTTTACAGGGGTGCCTGGGTGGCTCAGTCGGTTAAGCGTCTGCCTTTGGCCTGGGATCAAGCCCCGCATCTGACTCTCTGCTCAGCAGGGAACCTGCTTCTCCCTCTTCCTCTGCCTGCCGCTATGCCTAGTTGTGATATCTCTCTCTCTGTCAAATAAATAAATAAAATCTTTTTAAAATAATAAAAACTTTTTACAGAAATTATATTTTTACCTATCACCGTTTCTGAAGTCCTTGTCATCAGACTCTCCAACTTACTACCTATCCCTTATGTTGTCATCTAGTGTCCTCCTCATCAATCTGGCTTTAGTCACTAAAGATTTTAGTGTCAGGCCCATTGTCCTTGCCATTACTATTCATGTTGTCATTCTTAGTGATATCCAGCCAAAATTCACACTGATGACTTATTCAACAGTCTGGCCTCTTTGTTTCTTGATCTCTTTTCTTCCTAACTATCCTGCCCTCCACTCCACCTCAAATACATGCTTCCATATAATAATTTAGATCTTAATCATTATCAGGGCACCTGGGTGTCTCAGTTAAGCCCACAACTCTTGATTTTGGCTCAGGTCGTGTTCTCAGGGTTGTGGGATTGAGCCCTGAGTCAGGCTCTATGCTCTGTGGAGAGTCAACTTGAGATTCTCTCTCTCCCTGTACCTCTGCCTCTCCCCAGCCCCATGCGCTCTCTTCTCTCTCCCTCTCTCTTTCTCTGTTTCTAATAATAAATAAATCTTTAGATGTTTTCATTATCAGTATCTTCACCACCTCAATTCTTTGACTGCATACCTCAGTTCATTTATCCCTATTCTAGCAATTCATCCTCATTTTGACCTTCCATCCTTTGACACTACAACTTGATTGCCCTCTTGTGTCTCCATTTGTCTATGTTTTTTAGCTTAGCTTCCATGATTTGTCATGATACTCTCTTCCTTGCACATATCTTCTATTCCCTTGCCCCCACCCCCACTTCCTCCTTGGCAGAATCCCTGCCAAGGTTCAACTTGCTGTCTTCCTTCATTCCTGCTCCCTAAAAAAGCAGAACATCGCTGGAGAGAAGTACAAAACCTGTAGTTTGCTATGACCATAAATTTCAGATAGGGTCATACTCTTGTGGTTGTAACCAAGATATAGATAATAACCAAAATAGGGTACCCAGGAATAAAAGTAGGTTTCTTATTGAAAGAAAAAAAAGTCCATTAGATCTAACAGAGAACATAGTTTCTCTGATGACATCAGAATGCTCATTCTGGTGCATTATGTGTCTTCTTGCTTTTAATTTATATTCTTTTCAGCTGAAAGGCCTCGTTGAACTTCTGTCTTGGTCATTGATCTCTTTCCACTTTTACTTCAAGTACTTCCACTTGCTTCTCTTCTAAACCTTGGAGGGCTTGGATCATTAACCTTGATACCTAAGGACAAAAAATTAGGTTCCCTTGTTTTGTAGTTCCGTGGGGAATCTTTTCAGTTAGGATGTGGGGTATAGAAAATAGCATTGTTTTATCTGATCCTTCTTTGGGGATGTCATTTCTTTGATAAGAACATTAATTTTTAGTCTCTGCTGTGTTGAGATACTATGCCTTATAGGTAAGAATGACTCTTCCAGAAAAGATCCATTGAATAAAGACACAGTCTGGAGATGGCAGGGGGAAAAGTACCTTTTCTGGTTTGTGCAGTTGACTGAATTTCTTGTCCAGTTGTATATTGTTGTCATTGTTCCAACCAGAATTGATAATTCGGCAAAGAAATTTGAGTCAAAAATCAGTAAACTCTAGACTTTAAAAGGCCAGTGATTACAGAGGTTCACATGAGTGTCTGTTGCGTTAGAGCAACATGCCAGTTCCCTTGAAAATCACTGATACTCTTGCTTATCACCCAGAAAAGACTTTGGACTTTAAAAGTCAAGAGCCATGATCGAAAGCCCTTTGGCTTGAATGCAGAAGAGCATCTTAAATACGAACTAGACAGAAAAGAGTTACTGTAGAATACTGCAAACCTGTAAAATGAAAGATACACTAAACTTCAAGCCCTATACTATCAATAGACGTTGTAACTTTTTAGAGAGAGATGTACCCATGCTGATAGAGCATACATTTTTTCCAGTACGCCATGATTTCATTTATTAGCAGTTGTCTTTTACACTGGTTGCTTCACACTCCTTTTACCTCTCAAGCCACTATAAAAATTTGAACTAATGATCCTTGCATTTTTGTACTCCTGATTGTGTTATAATGCTTTGTGCATAGAAGACCATATATAGTGAAAGAAGAGACGGATGGTTAAGTAATGTATATTACAGCTAAATTTTGAAATGCTTTGTAACTTTATCATAAAGCCTCAGGAAATTAAATACTGCTTTCAGTGGGTTTTGATAACGATGCAAATAATTCACATGTGTTGTGTTTTTAAAATTACAACTGAAATGTATTGTTTATTTTCTCTTTTTTTTTTTTAGAGAGAGAGCACAAAAGTGCAAATAGGTGAGGGGCAGAGGGGGAGAGAGAGAGAGAGAGAGAGAGAATCTTAAGCAGACTCCATGTTCAGCGTGGAGCCTGACTTACGGCTTGATCTCATGACTCTGAAATCATGACCCAAGCCGAATCAAGAGTGGAGCACTTAACCTACTGAGCCACTCAGCTCAGTTTTTTTCTATTCTTAGCTCTCACTAGAATTACAACCTATCTATGACATTTACTATTATTAAAAGGAACCAAGCAAGAGGGGCACCTGGGTCACTCAGTCGTTAAACGTCTGCCTTCGGCTCAGGTCATGATCCCAGGGTCCTGGGATCGAGCCCAGCACCGGGCTCCCTGCTCAGCAGGAAGCCTGCTTCTCCCTCTCCCACTCCCCCTACTTGTGTTCCTTCTCCTGCTGTGTCTCTCTCTGTCAAATAAATAAAAAATCTTTAAAAAAGGAACCAAGCAAGAGATAGTTTTTGCTTATTTTTTATTTTTGCTTTTTACCAGGTTTCCATTCTTTTATGCAAGCGTTAAAAAGAATAATTATAGGGGTGCCTGGGGTGGCTCAGTTGGTTAAGCATCCAACTCTTTTGATTTCAACTCAGGTTATGATCGAGCCCCACACTGGGCTCTGTGCCCAGTGGGGAGTCTGCTTGAGATTCTCTCCCTCTGCCCCACCCCCACTCACGTGCATGCTTGTGTGCTTTCTCTCTAAAATAAATCTTTTCTTAAAAAAGCATAATTATAAATTGGG